CTCTACGAACGAATTGATCCGGAGAACAGTAAATACGAGGTCCTCAACACAAAAGTAGAGTTGGTATTAAAGAAAGGTATGTAATTTTTCAGTAAGAGCAGCTAAACTACTCAAACTTTTTTTCTAATTTATTACTGGATTAGCGAATGGTATTTCATGGCAAACATTGACATCTGATGAAGCACCACTTATGACGACAACGTTCGGTGTTTCTGGAGGAACGGCTACGGTAGGTGCCAAGGAATATATACTTGCTACGGATTCACCCTTGTACGCAAACAGACAAACGTAATTATGAATGCTACTTGTACCCGAGTGCACGTATGCAAGCCCAAGTAGAATAGACGTGATAAACATGAATGATGGTCATTTCTGTCGTTTTTTTACAATGAGAACGGGACAATGGGAATTCTGTTGACAGAAATCCGAGAAGCTACCAAGGAAAAGTCTAATAAAATAATATTGCATGTCAATTAATAAAATATCAAATAATACCGAATTATGAATAATATTTTTTATAAAAATACCTTTTCCACGTGCTCAAGTCACGCGAACCCATAATCAAGATATCGGCCTTTTCATTTTCAATATACTCCACAACGATATTACGCGAGTCGGACAACGATTTTAATACTTCCACACGAGCATTAATCTGTTGAAAATAATAAAATGATGCTTGAATTAAAAGCACGCGGAAGAAAGCAATAGTTGCTTTAATTACGTTTGCAGCCTGCAATATCTCAAGGAAGTCGTTCATAGCTTCTCGTGTCTTTTCTATAATCTAAATGAATTGTTTTTATCAGCATTATTTGGAATAAGTGCTTTAATCGACAGCTCTATCGTTCCAAAGGCATTTAACAACAAACCTCTTTCTCAAGTTGCATAATCTCTTCTGTCAAAGACATTGTATATAAACCTACAAAAAGTATCAAGGTTAATCTTCCTGCTGCTGTTCTTGTTCTTTCCTCTTCTCTAATACGAACATGATACCTAATTCATCGGCGTCAAAGTCAGAGTTCAGAGAAACAGCAGAGATAAGACGCACGTCGTCTATTTCCGGTTTCAAGAAATTTTCGATTATCCATTCAATTGTGTAAGAAGCCTCGTCTGAGGAAGGGTCAAGAGCAACAACAACCTTTCTGGTCATTTTCTTTTTCTTTGGCGAGTAGAAAAGAGAGCAAAAAGAATGAGAATGAGACTTAAGTTCGATGATCCGGTCACGCCATTATTTATTGTACGACGGCGTTTATTTTCTCCTTATTTACATTTGGTATAACTCTATCCTAATCTCGAATGACTACCACAATAATAATAAATGTATCCATACAAGTCATGTGATATGTTCCTTTTTTTTATTTTCGACTATATTCGTGACAAGAACAAACTGCCCTGGGAATGCGTAATAGAGGGACGCTGGCTCGGAATTATATTGGTAAGTAAGAGTCAAAAGGATTGTGAAGGTCTGCGGAGAGAAACGTTATTTGTTATAGAATAGTATGTTGGTAAGGGGTTGGACGTGCCTTCTTATGACAACTTTGAACTTAATTTACATTTTGTAGCAATCATAATCATCTCAATCAATGTGGTCTTCCAGCTATTGAACTTCTTCCTTAAGTCGAACAGCTGAGAGGAGGGTGCAGGAGAATGAGTTGGTTGCGCAGCGGAGTGTGTTGTCTGCGCAGCAGAGTGCGTTGGCAGTGGAGAGGAGGGCATTTTTATCAAGTTAATGGCGGCATTAATAGCCAAATTTTTCTTATAAGATCAGTGAAAGTGTTGTTGTAATTTGCTTGCACAGCGGTATTTTTTAAACAATTGTGAAAGCAAAGTTGTGGTTGAAAGAAAGAGAGATGTTGGAGTTGGAAGGACGGGCCACTGGGGAGTCGGGGGGAACAAAAGTATTGTACTTTTTTATATTCAAGATTTAATAAAAACCAACTTTGTATCATTTGCATAATGGATGTTAATAGAACGTGTTGTAATGGCCACAAAATAAACTCAAATTTTTTACCTTGGCGCGTAAATGGGTCTCACAAAATAGATTAAATGGTGCAACTGTCGCAAAATGATAGAATGCCCATCAACAGAGACATCTCGCGCGTTCTCAATCAGCGAGAAAACGGTTTGCCGTGCAGTACCTTTATGAAAAAAAAAAGTACGTTCCTTACATTCCTTTCAAATGCGTAGTGCTCGTTGCGGGAACAAAAAAAGGAAGAATTTAAACTAATTGCTAGAGGTCCTGAACCGGATAAATCTATTTCCTCTTAGTTGAGCTGACACTGAGAGAACGCAACCCTCAGCCTTCGCCTTTGAGAAACAGTAAAAGCTAATGGAATGCGCATCCGCAAAAGTATATCGTACTTTGATATTATTCATGTCCAACCGGATTCAAGCTGTAATTGTTGCAAATGGAGGAGATATTAAACAGTGACGTTTAAGTAATCAACATTTAGTCAGATCGACAGACGCAATGTTTTCGTAATTGTATATGTATACTTTAAATACGTTGTTAATTATCACCACTAGAATTTGTTACTAATACATTGATGATTTAAATACGGTTAAAACTGTTTATGCAACAGAAGTAAATAGTAACCTAGTGTCAAAGTTTCCTACGAAATCGATTTCGCCAACCATTGATTTGGGCAGCGTTTTACGCGATTGAGGTAATTCGACAGGGAATGAATAAAAATACTAACTCAGCAATGCTAAATAGCCATCATTTGCTGCATATGCTTGTGATTGAAATTTTAAATAAACCCACATTCAGATACTGGGTTTAAAATACTCCTAAGGACAATCATGACTGTTTATTTATCGAATTATCGTTCCCTAAAACTGGCAACAGATTACGATAATTAAAGTGGAGATTTTTTGCATGTA